TATTTTTTGTGCGGTTCCTTCTGCTTGTACTTATTTTGGTTTTGGAATAGTAGCAGAGTAAATGGTAAGCTAGCATAAGTTTATGGAGCTGTCTTGTAATATCGCGTAAACTTTTATTATTAAGCAATTTCGATTTTTGGGATGGCAGGACTGCCCGGATTTTCAAGATAAGCGAATTCAGCTCTGGCATAGGTTTTCAAATGAATCTGGCTTCAGACAACTATTAATTAGTAAATTGTTAATCAATCTTCAATAGCTCATTCATTTCAGTCATCTGTCAAATTCAAAGGATTATGCCAGTTGTCTGTAGATTTTCTTCTTAACAAGAATGTCGCTGACGGTGATTCGGCACGATTCGTATCTGAGCACAACGGTACGCTCTTGAGAAATTGTCCTTTGTTGTTTTTGTACTATTTTGATACATTCAAATATGTTTAAGAGGAGCATCTTGATGATAGATGACCCTGTAGGGTCAAATGAATTATGCCGCAGAACATTATAAAAAAGTAAGATGAGTAGGCCTTTCTGATTAATCTGTTCCAGGTGCTCTATATGTTTGGTTCACATTCGAATCGCAGACTTTGACTTGTGCTTTTGGCCTATGCAATAGCAATTCTTTTAACAAGTAAAGAAGGCAGAACTTAAAACAGAAAGTCTTGGTTGAATTAAAAGGGTTCGGTCCAGGAGCGATTGCGCGGTGTGGGCTAGCCAACAATGTCTGGGTACGAGAACCGCCCAGTTTGCGACAATATTGATAGCAAACATAGTGGAAGAACGAAAGAGGTACATTTAAATGAAATTAGAATTTTGGAATCGTGTCCGATCACTCCTTGCAAATGATTTGCGATCTTTTCTTGCTTCGTGGTCCAACAATTTCGCGCCTGTTGTGTGTAATGACTAGCGGGCATAGAAAAGGAAGGGAGCGAGAAAGCACGGAAGTATCTGGGTTTCTTGTTTTGCTTCTTTTCCTGAAAAGCAGCTAGGCATAATCGGGTTTTTTTCCAGATGTGTTCTGCATTCGTAGGTTTTTGTACTTCCATATCTTTTATGATGAAAAACGCTGCTTCATACAAATGCGACACAGATGACTTCGAGACTGAATGCACACACTTAGGTTTACCTCCTGGTGAGTTTCATGGCATGTCAGTTTCTCCACAGCAATCACGATTTTGAAAATGAGAACTTCTAGTCGTGTTTTAGAGCACAGCAAGATGTTGGGTCGTGTTTACGCATCTAATCTTGATGTTTTGAAGCAATTTGTGAAAAACAGCATCCCAAAAGGTCAGCTCTCGACCATTTATTTTATCACTCATAAACTAACATCACGTTTTGTAGAACCTCCACTGGAGTCAGTAATCGTGTTGGAAGAAAATACACCATCTCCCATGTTACGGTACACACGTAACGTAAAAACTTCGTGCCAGCTTAACGGAGAGATCAGCTGTCGTTCATGCGCGCTCCGCGTTTCGTGGACACTTCAACACTTTGCTGAAACAGTCTGTTAATTGCCCTTATTTTTGCCCTTCAGTTTAAAAGTAATAATTTACAGATATGGATTTCGTCTGGGACATGATCAAAAGCAAGTTTATGGAATGAGATGAAGAAATGGATTCAAAATCAGCGCTTTTTTCATTGCGTCCGAAGCAATGAAACTTGAACTATCAAATGCGAAGTCATGTGATCCTCACTATTTAACGATTGAGGGAACGTGTTGTGCTGAGTGCCGTCACGGACGGCGTTTGAAAACAATACATTAGTCCATCCATGAGTAATTTGTTTTGCAAGGTGAGTAGAACGATGCCGTGGCGGTTGCATTCTTTGGAGTGTAATAACGTTTTGTGAGTTTCAAAACATCGCTGTAGTAAATAAAAGTTCGCAATATTCCCTGGATGACTGAAAGGGTTGGTAATTGGCCGATGTCAGAGTCTGCGATTGGAGCGATCGGTCAAATGCCAATCGCGCGACCATCGCGCGATTCGCGCGACGATCGCGCGATTGACATGAGTCCCATCATGACCAATCGCTCCAATCGCGCGATGGGCGCGATCACTCCCGTTGTGTGCGCGCCCCTCTCGATCGATAGCTCAGTCAACGTATCGATCGAGGGGGGCGCGCCCAGCCACAACGGGAGTGATCGCGCCCATCGCGCGATTGGAGCGATTGGTCATGATGGGACTCATGTCAATCGCGCGATCGTCGCGCGAATCGCGCGATGGTCGCGCGATTGGCATTTGACCGATCGCTCCAATCGCAGACTCTGACATCGGCCATTCGCTGAGCCGGGCGTTATACCAGGGAATTTCTTCCTTTTTCACTCGGATGTTCCTTGCTCTGTGTGCACCTTGGACCAGTGCACACTGGGGGCGCGATCAATCTTTTTTCGGGATGCGCCAAGCATGTACTTTCAACCATAGAGTCGTCTGGCAAATTTGTGAATTTGACAGATATGGTGACTTGCGAAAGCCATCCAATGTTAAGGTTTTTTTTTTCTTCCCAGGCGAGTTTACTACCAATTAGCCGATCTCCAGGGATGGGTGTACGTGGACTGGGAACGGTCTAAGGATTTGATCTCTTGACCGAACGCGTGGTAGACATCGCCACTTGCAACTACACCCTTCCGCCCATAACTTCAGTTCAGCATTGCTCACTAGTGTAGGTTTTTTTTTGACCATCTATCGAAGCGAGATTGTCTTTCCATATGGTATGGGTTGCATTAGCACGCAGTATCGTTAATTCAATGGCGAATTGCATGTGCTGTTTCGTTCGTTCCATTAGGGCTTATTTGCCTTCTGATGACACAAGTTCTAGTAATGGAAGTGGCCCAATGGAACCCGGTTTTCAGGAGAAAATGGAGGACTCTTGAAGAGTTTACAAACCGCAATCCTTTGAGACTATCAAATTAGGGTACAATCTCTCAACTCCATTCAGCCACGTTTAGCTGTTTCGGTTTTGTGATGAAAGGTGTGTACCGTTCGTATGTCTTACGCCACGCGTCCCATGTCAAGGTCAGCAGTGGGCAATGGACTGTCAGCAAGTAGTTCAACGCCTCCTGCTTTCTCTCCATAATTTGTCGCTTACGATTATCAAGCGTTTATTCGTCTTCTTCCCTGTGTCTATTATTCGCCAATCCAACCAGCGGTTCAACCCTACGTTGTTACGAGTAACAGCGGGTACTGGTACTAGAGCATCTATAAACAACGCTCCCCCTAAATGAGCTTCCGAATCAGGGTCAACCGTCCGTTGGACAAAGTCCAACGGGGGGGTCGTATTTGGCCGACGCTAGAGGGGGGGGGGTCGTATTCGCAGGAGTCAACGTTGCAGTACGAAGAGGTTTTTGGGTGTAGATGACGAGAGGTGGTTTTCGCTATAAGGAACCTAATGTGTGTTGTGATGAAGCTCGCAGCTGTTGGCTCTTGCTGGGACCATCGAACGATTTTAATCAAGACGTTAGTTCTCGCGACAGAAGGGGAGAGGTTAATCTTGTGAGTGCTTCTTCAATTATTAAGCACAAACGAGTGCATGGCGCACATCAGAGCAGAAGAGTCTGCTGCGAAAGTATCCATATTTGACTGCGCACGTACACAAATATAATTCTAGAGGTGAACCAATGCCTTCAAACTGGACCTAAGTTAATAAAAGAGTGACCTCTTTGGTAGATTGACTGCTAAAGGGCTACAAGAAAAGTTTGGGAACAAAAATATTTGCCTGTCGGCAACTTCTTGAAATGGGTTTAGCATCTGTAATGAAGCACAGAGCTCGTGCGATGTCACGGTATCATAATTCCCGATAAAATTGAGTTTGAAGAGAGTTGTCAGTGTTTAAGTGTTGAAAACCTGTGTTTTCAGGAGAGTAGCGCCGAAAATTCATGAAAAAAAACGGTCCAACGGGGCGATTTTCTGACTCCTTCAACTTTGGGAAGAGAAAAAGTATTCGTTGCTAAGCCCCAACCTTCTACTCCAATCCAGGGGGACAAGAACTGCAAAAAGTTCAATGTGAAAAAGTTATAACAATTTAAAGCCAAAAAACCAGCGCTCTGCAAAAAATCGGTCCGCGATTTCCCAAAAACGGTCCAACGGGGCGATTTTTTGACTCCTTCAACTTTGAAGGAGTTCAAGTATTCGTTAGAAAGCTCTAACCTTCTTCTTCAACCCAGGGGGACAAGAATCGCAGAAGGTGGAATTTGAATAAAGTTATAACCATTGGAAGCCAAAAAACCTGGTCTTGCGAAAAAAACGGTCCAACGGGGCAATTTTTTGAAGGAAAGAGTTTTTGCAAAAGCTTGAGCACTTTTTAGAAAGAAAACAGTCTGAGCTTTCCAATTTTTCTTACCGCTCCTCATAATTCCTTGTTTGAAGAAAGTTACAACCTTTTAAAGGACGAAGTGTGCATTTCTGTGTGAATCCTCTGAAATAAGCAGTTATTGTAGATTACAAATCCTACTTAGCAATTTAAAAATGTTGATATTGAACAAAATTACGTTTATTTGAAAGTGAATAGTCGGTTTCTCGCTGCCCGCGCTGCGCCGAGGGGAAGATTGCGCGCGCCAATGCGAATGCAACGCTCCCGTGCTCCAATCGGACACTTCTGGCGGTCGGCCGACACGCATAGTCGGTCGGACGACAGCAACGACCGCAGGTGTCGCATAAACCGCGGTCGCAAATGGAAGGCGACGCGGTCACCCAATGCAAACCCAGACAACACGTGACTGCGCGTGATCGTATTTCGAAAGTCCCACTGTAGTGTGGAATAGTAGCTGCGTATTGATCTTGCAGTCGTTTGCTGTCGTCAATCGGACACTTCTGCGGTATAGTCTCATGCTCTGAGATGCGCCATGCACTCGTTTGATATGCGCATGCATATCGAAATGGAAATTTTTTGTGATTTTGAACGCCCATTCATGAAAGGCAGGCAAAGCGCCATTCGAACTAAAGGGCAGTACTGTCTAGCAACTAATGAAGGCAGTTCGTTTTGCGATGTTGTGCATTAGTGAATTACCGGATATCAGGAAACCAAGTGTCTTTAGATTTTTCAGATTGCACTTATTTCTCCCCGTTAGCTCTCTCCTTAGCAGTGTACAGTACATAATGAATGCGAGGGGTCGTATGGAGACTCTCCTAGAGGGTGGGGTCGTAAAAATTTTGAAATCGGTCCAACGTGGACAGTTTACCCGGTTGCGAACGGTCGACTTGCGATATTAGATATAGGGGCCGGCCCGAGGCGTGGCGCGCACCAAGGCAAGGGATGTAGTGCAAGCGCATGCTCGGAGCTTTCTAGCACATCCTTAACTAAACATAAAATTGGTCTTCCAAGAAGTTACGGGCAGTGAAACCTAAGAAAACTCGCGTTTTCGAGAAAATGGCTTGAAGAATACCCCTCAAAATAAAAAGTAACAACGGGACTAATTTTGAACTGCTGATCTTTCAGGAACGCTTGGGTGCTCGTTAGAAAGCTTGAAACCTGTAGTTTATTATACCGTGTTCAGCTTCCCAAATGAATGACTTTTGAAGGAAGTTATGATCGTTTGAAGGTAAAAAAGTCGCGGTTCCAAAAAAATAGTAACGCAAACCCCCAAAAAAAGTAACAACGGGACTAATTTTTGAACTACTGATCTTTCAGGAACGCTTGGTGCTCGTTAGAAAGCTTGAATCCTGTAGTTTATTATACGTGTTCAGCTTCCCAAATGAATGACTTTGAAAGAAGTTATGATCATTTGAAGGTCAAAAAGTCGCTTTGCACAGAAAAAAGTAACAACGTACTAAATTTTTATTAAATTAACTTTCGAAGAATTTTTACCCATGGTTGGAGAGAGAATAATTTGAATTTTCCAAATCAAATCACTTCGGCGCAGAAGCTCGAATATGAAGGAAGTTATAGCCTTAGAAAGAGGGGTGTAAAAATTGTGTTGCAATTGAAGAACGTGAAGGATTTCAGTATTTCAATTGGAGCGATAATTTTTTCTGACTTCTCATAAGTTTTTATCAGGTAATATTGTCAATATTCCGGTCACTGGTTCAGCTTTATTTCATCTCCTAGTTTGGTAACCCTTTGGAGTACACGGATATCTTTGAATGCATCTCATTTTTTCGTGTTTGCAAGCAGCGATGAATTTCTGTCGTGGATTTTGCTAAAGTTTCATCTTTGATGACTCACCCCCACTCTCTCCCCCCCAACCCCACCCCCCCGACCACCTACGTAAGAAATAAATATTGATGGTAAACACTGTCTCTACACAAGTGTTACATACAAGGGGGGGGTCGTATCAAATCACCCATGAAGGGGGGGGTCGTAAAAAATTTCCAAGAGTAACAACGATAGGGTTGACCCTGATCCCAAGCTCGAATATTAGCTCCGGATTGACGAAATATAGTATGTCTGAAGGAAAGGAAGCGAAACAAATGTTTATTGTTGTTTATAAGGGTGTTTTCTTCTAATTTGTTTTGTCACATACTTACGCAATTACAAGTGTAATGTGCATGTTACTGTTCAAGACAGTTTTGACACGCTATTACATTTTTCAGTCGCTTTTCAGTCACAACGCCGTTCGAACCACGAAATCGCTGAGGCGCCCGCGCCCGCTTTACAATTAGCTATTATTATTATAATTAGCATCCTGCTGAATCTTAGTCGGCAATAGTCATAAGTACTTGGTCTAGGCGTTGCTAAGATGTGTACGATCGGCTCAGCGGTTAGTGACCGTGACGCAATAAGTCAATGTGGTCGCTACATACCGGGTTCAAATTTGCGTACCGATTGGCGCTGTTATATGGGGGAATTTTCCAATTGGCTTCCACGCAATTATGTTTCGCGTTCAGTCTCTGGCCTGCCCAGAAAAGTTTTAGTTTACCTGGCCAATTGAAATAAAATACATACTGCTACAAGCCCCTGGAAACACTGAACTCATTTTGTCTTCACTATCTGCTACACTCTTCTCTAACGATTATGAAGCGATCAAGGGCAGTGGCAGTGTTCTAGACTCTGAAAGAGAGGTCGGGACCGATTCCTTGGTGACCTTGCTTTCTTGCTGTTTTCTGCAACATAGCTAGGAGGACTACTCGCATCACTAGCTCACATATATGGTTGCCTTTACAAAAAATTTGAGAAGTTTTCAAAAAGTTAATAACGTTATTGGGCGACATTCGCTCGTGACTAAACTAGGCGGCTGTAGCTCCTGCGCCAGCTATTTTCGCATCGAATGGTGTGATATTCGTAGCCAGGGAGTCGCGAATGCCCCTATGAGCAAACTTCTGGCCAATTCTGAATTTTTGACCTGACTCGAAAAACTTGATTCACTTAGTCATCCATCAACGCGTTACCGAAGAGTGGGATCGTGATAGAGTCAACTTCCAAACAAACTCCAAAAAAGACAAAAACATGTTTGGCTCACCTGTCTGCACCGTCCCATATTCTACAAGGCATTATTCTCAAGTGCAAGCCCCTTCTCCCACTCTTCTGTCGTCCATGATCGATCAACCTTAGTTGTTGTTGTCTGGGTAGTGGCAACCCTATAACTGTGGACTGCTCGGAAACTCTTCATAGATGCAGCTATAGGCAATCAACGGTTGATGAAGTAACGTATTCGACAAGCCTTTTAACCAGCAAACCACGCTTGGAGTCGAACCGTGACCTCTTGCTCCAGAAACAAGATCGCTACCAATGCTCCACTGCATCCCACTTCTCAAGTTTTTCGTGTAGCTCACAATGGTACCTTCATGTCATTCCGGGCAGGACAAACAGTGAGGGCGGCAAAAAAAACCTTCATAACTCTTTTTGGAGAAGTTTAGCAGGTAACGAAAGCAGATTTGTACTCAGCTCCTAAGATGCGTAAATAAATACACCGCATTGTATTTGGCCTAGCTTACCCAATGACCTTTTCCTGATTAGATCTTCTTACATTCAAAGGCAGCAAGTCACGATGAATTCAAGAAGGGTTAGTGTGACGTGGTGGTTCCCAATGGTATGCCCGTGGCGAAGAACAGCAGAAAAAACCCGTCAAAGAAAATGCAAAACGGGGCCCCCTTTTGGCCGCTTCGTTTCACTCATAAACAGGTAACAGCTAAGAAAGTGGACGTATGAACGAGTTCACCGCAACGCGTTTGATGGCACCATGCCAAACTACGCTTTAATCGAGATGCTCCATTTGCGCCGCTGCTGGCCACGCAGCTCGTCCAAATCAACAAGTAAACTTGTGGGCGGATCGCTTTTGGGGGCGGAGAGCGCTTTCGAAGTCCTGCTCAGCAACCAGCGCACCATTGTTGAGCGCACATCTAGGCTCCCCGGCCAGCAAGTAACCGATTCGGTTGTGGTGTACATGCCCCCCCGCCGCTCCACTCATTATCGAATCGCGCTTTGGCGTGGGCCTACCCCTCATTTTGCTACGTGGATGATTCGAGATTATGTATTACTGTAAAACTATTCGTTCTTACACACATGTGCGTTACGCCACACAATGAAGATGTACAAAATAAACAACTTTGAAGATCTGTTTCATTGGAAAATTTCACAAAATAATGATAGCACAGCATATGAATGTCCAATTCACAATCTGCAAATTACTTAATTAAAGCTCAGAGGTTATCAAAACGAAAATCGTGACACGGAAGAAATTTGTCAATGAGCACAACAATCTTTTCTTCGACATATATAGAATCTTGCAATGCTACCTTTCTTAAGTAATGTATGACAACGTTGTACACCGTGAAGTTCACCATTAATATAAAGTTATCGAGTACTTTAATGATTAAATTGAAATCGAGCAACTGAAATGTTAATATAATTACAGACGAAATTCCTAGAGATGTGCGGATTGCTTGTGGTCCCAAATCGGAAATATATGTTTCGGATAATCTAATATTATTGCCACCCAACAATTGACTTTTTACTGGCCGGCCAACCAGGTTTTCCCATCCATCATAAAGCGCTGAGCATCCTCTGGGTAATTGTCGACTGATGATTCCTCGCCGTGGCGGGACCCCTTGATTGACGCGATCGCCATCTTCTTGCGATTCACTGAGTCGAACAATACACGACTAGCTTCGTACGCTTCTTTTACCACCTACAAAAACAAATGGTCACTCATAAGTGGTGTAGGAAAGACCGGGACCTTATAGAATCAACTGACCTCTGCTCTTACTCCGGCCAGTCGAGCTGCGAAAAACCCGTACGATTTCGGACAAACTCCGTCGGTCAAGCGATAGAGGAAAGTTACGCATTCTTCAGTGGGATTGGCCTCGTTCTCATTTTCCACCATGCAGGCCTAAAATTGGTCAGCTCAAAATAGAAAGAATGGCAAATTTTTCCAGACACTGTGCTGTCATCAGGGAATTCTGTAACGTTGAAATCTACTAACCATGTGAGCAAGTGCGATGTTGGGATTGACTGCTGCAGTTTTGCAGAGGGAATGGTAATGCGTAGAGAAGAATGATCGGCACTGTAAACGACGGGAAACATCCGAGAGTACAGCTGATGCGATTGCTGTGCCGTCAAAAGTACTGAAACATTGTTCACTTTTCAAATTGATTATCTACACTCTTGATATGTCTTGTTGAGACCACTTCACTTTGATGAAAGTTAATTTACCTAGGATCTTGTAGATGAAGCACTTAAATTAGGTTGGTCGGAAAAGATACCCCCTGTTTGATTGGCCCGTCACGAGCGCTCATTGTCATCCCTCTTCCACTCGGAAGCCATAATGCCAGCAACCAATTCATTCGACAGGATACACCTCCCAATTGCCTCGTTTTCCTCCACGATTCTACCCTAGC